GACCAAAAAAAAAAAAAAGTTTAACAATGGTAAATATCTATGGAAATCATCATAACAAATCAGCAGTCACATGAATAAAAATCTTTTTTTTTTGGCATATTTCAGCGGGTCACTGTGGAATCCCAGAACTAATTGTGAATGGTCAAGTCATTGGAGAAAATTATGGATACAGAGACACAGTTGTATATCAGTGTAATCCTGGTTTTCGGTTGATTGGTTCTTCTGTGAGGATATGTCAACAGGATCATAATTGGTCTGGTCAACTCCCATCCTGTGTGCGTAAGTAAGCATGACAAAATATTAGGGACTTTTCAGAGTGATTAGCAAATCATGTTTTTTTTTTCCTAAAGAAGATGAAAGTTTTATTTATATATTATGTGTAGATTACAGTTGAAAATAAAGCTTATAGTCTAGGTGTATAACTATTATGTGATTTTTTTAATAATGAGCTGTATTCTGGAGCATATAAAACCATTCACAAGGAAAATAGGATAAAATGTTAGATACTTTATTATATTTATTATTTCATAAAGGCAAAATTTAAGTTTCGGACCTTAGCATTTTATATAAATGTTTACAAGTGAATATTTGTACATGGAAGGTATATTCTCAACATATTTTTAGTATAAGAATTTGAAGTTGTTGACGCTGCTGTATAACAGAGCCAACATTCTTGTGATATGAACTTTTATAGTGGAAAATTCTTCTGATGTGTTCTAATAATTAGGATGCTATTGCTAGCCCATAAAATCATATCCAGGTGAAGTGTAATTAGTGAAGAAAAAGTCATCAGACATATGGAGACTATTGTCTCAGTTCAGTCCCACTGCTAATTAGGCCAGTTAATTCAAGTCACTTAACACTTCAGAAGTCTAATTCCTTCATAAACTAAATAGTTAAAAGTGTTTTTCATTGTGGCTCCTTTTAGCCTCAGATGCCATCAGATTCTAAACGAATCAAGATTGCATATGTATGGAGTAGGTGTAATATTTTGTGATAATTAATTGAAATACTTTAACAATTACTTGAAAATATATTGCATCGATATTTTCAATCTCTTTCAATTCATAGAAAATATATTGGTACATATACTTTTAGGTTTTATTTAATGAAAAACTTGGCATTTCAAAAGTTTTCTTTTGTGATAAATTTAATTATGAAGTCATACATTAAAATGGTATTCAAATAATTGCATTTCATTATTACTCTTTAAATACGGCAGTTGTGCTTTGGAGTTGTAATAGATCTTTTCCCACTTATAAAGTATGATTTTGGCTATACTGCTTTTATTTGTTTCTCTTTTTAATGATGAGAAAGCCCAAGAGCTTACAAGACAGAGAGTAGGAGGGCATTCTGTGTGTGGAAAATTCACATGGTAAAGGGCTGAGGCATGAAGGCATAGAAAGTGATGAGCTGTATGGGGTCTGGTGGCAGGTTAGGGGTAGCTTTGTGGAAGAAGAGGCTTTGTGGTGGGGACATCACAAATGAAGCTAAAAGTTTTCCTACTATTAATTGTCCATCTTGACAGTAACCATGTGTGAGGTGAGTCCAAATAAGGCTTAGTAGAAGCTGAAGGGAAATCACTTAATTTATAAACAACTGTGGTTGTTATGGACTGCTAACCTGAGACTTTCAGGCTAGAGCTGTGCTGCCTTTCCTCAAAACACCTTTATCCTGGAGAAAATTCATATTCTCTCTCTGTCTCTCTCTTTCTGTCTCTCTCTGTCCCTCTGTATCTCTGTCTCTGTCTCTCTCTGTCTCTGTCTTTCTCTCTCATGTGTTTGTGTGTGTGTGTGTGTGTGTGTGTGTGTGTGTGTATGTGTGTGTTGATAAAATCAATTCCAGGCATTCTGAAAGCTAAGTAGCTAAGCAAGTGTTCTTCCAAACGGATACACATTCTTTCTTTGGGTGGAACCCTTTTACAACATCTCATCTGATTCAGTCAAGGACAGGCTTTAAGTTAGACTACCTGCTGTGGCACATGGTATGGGTAGATATTTCTCTCATTTCTTTCTCTTACCAAGATGCATCTCTGACCAGCCTCCTGTGCTTGGTTAACATCCAGTCCCATGCAGTCTGTGTCTTCAGAGGAAAGCTCAGAACTCTCCTTGCCCTAGCAGCCTTTGGAGCTGGTTTTGAGAGATGAGCAGGCCAGTTAGAGCTACACAGTGAGATCGTGTTTCAAAAAGAAAAAAACAAAAGAAAGAAAAAGAAAAAGATTACTTCCATTATAGTTTATTATACCAAATCCTAAAACATGATATATATTGCACTTTTTCTTAATTATTCATATTTTCCCATTTCTCCTAATAATTTCTGTCCATATTTACTTACATTTGTATTTTTAAAATATTGTTTAATAAATGGTAGGAAAGTCATCAGTATGTTTAAATGATAACTTCATAAGATAATGGATAGATATTTTGGAAATTTTGGAGAATGTAGTTCTTTAATGTGAGTTCAATGCAAGGAATAATTTTATTTAATCACTGACTAATTTAACTAATATTTATAAATTACAAATCATTGTCAAAGTTTTATCTAATCAATAGGAATATTATGGAAAATACTTTTGAGTATTAACACACACATGCGTGCACACACACACACACACACACACACACAACTTCAATGTGAGCATTATCCACGTCTACCATGATGTTGATTATACATC